ATTTTACGGAGACTTGCCACGGTCTCCAACCCTCCTCCTTTCTCATCCGGGCTTGGGACCGCCCATGGCGGAGTTTGTTGCTATCCCAACATCAACCTTTAAACTTTGACAGTGAGTGATGTGACGATTTTAATGCTAATGAAAATCGCGATATAATACACCATCATTTCTCAATAAGCAGAAATTAGCGACCTTACTTTTTGTACCAGTGTCCTATCAACAGACCGCTTACGGTTTTGTGACAAGCGTTTACGGCTGCGATGCGCTTGATGAAACTCGACTTCGTCTCATGTTAGCGTGCCCGCCTCATTTCGTGCACAAGTCATTGCACGCATGTACTGCGTGAATTTGGTCTTTGGAAAGTTGTTGCAAAAGCAGAAAGTAGAACTTTAGATTTGTACTAATTTATTTTTGGCTTAAAGTAAGTTAGATGTGAATTCTCGGACCATAATAGCGGGCGGTCCTATATATTACCTGCACTACCTCAGCGTGAAAGAAGGGTGACAAGACGATCTACGGCTGAGCCTCTAGACTAGTAGGTTTAGTCATGTTTCGAAAGTTTGAGAAACATGCTTGTTCAGCGTAGTGAGTTATGACCAAATTCTCCAAAAATAAAATCACACACTTAAAGAGGCCTTCATCCAGTGGATCGACGAAGGCTGATTCGCTTGACCAATATCCATGAATCAGAACTAAGATTTTCGCCTCCGAGTTTTGAGAGACTAAAAAATATTTTGTGTCAAAACTTCTTCACTTACTGAATACGTAACGAAAGTGGTTTGTGCTTAACTGTCGCGGTTATTGAAGTTGGTCGCGCCATATGGAACTCCAGTTTGGTTTTTTGTTTCTGCATATTTATTTTAGCGCATCTTCCGAATAGCATAATCTTTTTAGCGCCACAGTCATGCGTGAAGTTATATTAAAATTTTGGTGCTTTTAAGCTAGGGGCATCTTAGTCTAATGTCGATCTTTGTGCAGTTGTTTTTTGGTTTCCATGCCTGTATGAGCTAACGTCGTTTGTTTCAGGCGCAAAACAGCAAAAGTTCTTCAAACGCCTTATGCTTCATCGAATCAAGTGGGACGACGAAAAGAGTGAGTCTAAAGAGAAGCCTACCAACAGATGTGTTCTTGTTTGGGAAGTAAGGCGCTTGATTCGTCATTGACCGGGTTGGCGTTTGACGTTGTTTGCAGCTGCAGATTTTTTCAGGGCCTTGTCAAAAAGCGAAGTTTCGGTGAAATCAAGTTTAAGTCCTGTCCACTAGAAAAGCTTGCCCGGGAACACTTTCAGAAGCATGGCGTCGAGCACTACTGGGACATGGCTTATAGCAGCGCCGTTTTTGACCAATCTGAAGAAATTGACTGACATCTGTGCACTTTGATTGTATAATAGTGTTATTTTTACGTTAATACTGAATTGATATCGAGCAGATTTGAATCTGAAAATAAATTTTATATGTGTCATCACGTTGAACGGTTTTTTCCACCCCAAACTGAATATGATATGTGAGCTTTTGCTAAAAGGCTGACCCAAGGCTTGGTGCTGCGAACAAGAATTCGCATAAAAATAAAAAAATTCACGGACTAATCAATCATTCAGTGAGGTTATAGAAAATTTGCAAACCCCTTTTAGGGCTCCCGTTTTTGTTAATTGTAGCTTAACCTTTTAATCTTACCAGACAATAAGTATCGGTTTCCTTTAAGTTCATCTTTAATGTCGATTACTATATGCCGTATTTCATTGGACATGACAGATATGAGACAAATAAATAAAACAGGTGTAGTTGTTTAGTATTCAGTTTAAACCAGCACTGATATTGGATTTGTTAGTTTTCAGTTGGATGATCGAGTGAGTGTTATGAATGCTACGGTAAAAATTCGTTTTCTTATTTCATCAGATGTAAGGTATCGCGCTATAGACTGACGCTCATGAATAATCGCAAGATTCGTTATCCTGGAGCAAAATGTAAATGAAAATTTGCTACCGAGGGAAGTTATTTTGCATAGCACTTCATGGTAATCATTTACAACGTTTATTTCATGAGATATTTGTAATGGCACATTTGTATGTGGTATGCGGAGATCAGTTATGGATGCTTCCTCTTGCAAAGGCAAGCTCTGCAGCTCAAGTAGCACAGCTGCTGTTTCGTTTTATCTGCGCCGGAGGGATATGCAAAACTGAGCAACCCTGGTCTTTCGGCATTTCGTATCATTGTAGCCTCAAACGGAGGACGTACTTTCGCAGGTTGCAGTTTCCGCGACATTTCATGCACAGTTGCAATGGGTCGGATCGGTTTGAGGAGAAAACTTGCATGAACAAGTTGCCAACTCAGCCGCCGCTGATGATCTCAGCTTCCCGAACAGTCATGATTCTTGACTTATTGGCACTTTGCACTTCGACCCTGTATTGTAATCACTGTAACTGTGACTGATAACAAAAATATAACATCCCGGAGTCGTCATTGTGACCTCTGAAATATGCTGACAAAATGACGAAGCTGCTACAATGGAACTCATCGCGAATCAGAAAGAATACGCTCACTGCGTTCATACATCGTAACACGGTGAATGTCGATGCCTTCAATTTCACCAGAGAGGCGACCGCAATTATTCTGGACGACCTGTCAGCTGAATAAGGTGATTTTTCTTTCAGTGTGAGCCAATGGCACATCGTAGCGTCAGGCTACTTGTTTTACGTAACAAGGTTAATAGAAAAACTTATCTTCCTTGCCCGCAACCCGCTTTGACTTCAAGTTTGACATTTACGAGGTGTTTTGTAGCCAACTATCACGAATGTTTCTCCGATCACTAACGATAGTACCATTCTGCCTCTGCTTCGTGAATAAGGTGCATGAGTAGGGACTTAAACAAAGAACGGAAAAATTCACATTCAAGAAGTGAGTTTCTCAGCTTGACTGATTTTCGCCGGCAAATCTAACTCAGTTAGAACATTCGAAGTTATTGATGAAATCCAAGAAGTGAGAAACGATTGTTTTTTATCGATTGCGAAAATATTATCACTAGAGAGCCAATACTACAGAGGTTTGAACCGGTGGTTATGGTCCAGCAGAAACGCAGTTTCCAGAAAATTCATATACAATTCAGCGACTGATACTCCTATGGATTTCACGCTGGTACCATCTATCTGTGTGTCACATTATTAAACGTTAAAAAATTGCTACTTAACGTAATCCCGAACAGCTCTGCTAGGATGATGATGAAGAGTTCGCTCAGTTTTGAACTGACAGTTTTTCATTGACTTGAAGTGGCTTGAAGAATAGCTGGAAGAAGCTTTAAAACAATTTCTCTTACCTTTTTTCATTGTCGTGAAATGAAATCTCATCAGAGCATTAACCATTCGAATGTTATCCACGACCACCTCTATCAAACATCATTTAAACACATCAATGTGCTGGTATTTCGATGCTCCCTTATGTTGAGAGCTGATTTGAGAATTGTCTAGTTCCTTTGCAATCCTGCGCGCTATTGTGTGACACAATGGTCTTCAGAGATATTCTGGTTTATGTGCGACATCACCGAACTGCATAGATGCGAGATGGATAATGATTCAGGACGAAAATGTATGTTTCGGAAAGATATTCGATCGAAAACTAGTTTCCTCACATTTGCGATCTTCATCTGTTTTGATACAAACGGTTCATACCAAAATTGATATTTATCTTCCCATCGTTCCCCGTTCTTCTCATTAAAGTTCTTTACCCATTATCCGTTGACACTAATATCAAACCTTACATGTGACCTTATTTCTCTGTACTGTACACCAATGGGAGGCTTTCCTGAGTTCTATTCCAGTTTCTGATTAGGTATGCCATACTTGCAACGGTCCTATCTCTCATAGCAGCAAGATTTAGGTACGCAAAGAAAGTTCTGTTCAATATTCAGTCACCAATGTTGGCCTAGCTTCTAGTAACCGATATATTAGGACTGAGAACCATAGTATTTAGCCACTCCTCCACATGGTCGCATTGTGTTCTTGATCTTAATAGCCTACAGGATCGTTCAATAAAAGCATATTTCCGTGGTGTTTAAACTTGCGTCACTTTGTTTGGTCGAACCAAAACATTTTCGAACACCAACAGCTATACCGTAATATAAGGATATCCCAACTGATATTTCCAGTTGAATTTCGTTAAGTTTCTCTGTGATCAAATTTGTTACCAAAGAGTTATAAAACTCTGACTAGCCACAATATTTCACCAACCTTTCTCACTCTTTCCCACCACTGAGCATCGAGTTTCTTAAGGGGGTTATCATTTATTTTCAGATATATGCAATTTTAGGCTCCTGAGCCGCAAACTTAAAGCACGAGAAATCCTGAATAAAAATTGAAGATTTAATTTCAAAGTTTGTATGACACGCAGTAGGAGATTCCACTTAGCAAAACAATGGTACATCACACGAATCGTAATCTTCTCTGAACATTCCTTCAAAATCTTTTAATTACTAGGTTAACGCAGGTTCTGAAGTCGAGTATCTTTCGGAATGAAACCTCTACAACGCGACATGAAGGTTATTGACAATTTTAAGCGGGCGAGTTCTTCAGATTCCTACGAAGTCAATTCGCCAAAGCAGTTTCAAACATTTGAAAATGTCCTATGAGAATTCGTTGCCATTATTTGGCCTGTCGAAGGTCGACGTTTGTTAGTTGAAATGCTGCTGAATAATTTATTCAAAATCATCGATGTGAGCAGCCACAGGGACTTTAAGTCTACAGGAATAGGGATATTGCGGTCTGCGAATCGTCAGTATATAATCAATTTGATCCTCGATTGCGAAAGTTATTCATCCATGCTGGAGTGTTGAACGGTTGTGCTATAATTTCATTGTTTAATGCACTGGTGGCACAAGGTGACGAAGTGCTTCACCAGGCTGGCTTTCAACGTTTCGGCTCCATTATCGCTAGTGGTGGCATCATCCAGAGTTAAACAGGATCGACCTAACGTCGACTGTTTCGGTAACCTGTCCAATGTTTGGACCCTGAACAAACATGCGCCTGTGCTTTCCGCCTCGACCATGGTCCGTGTCGACCAGGTCAGTGTTGTTGCATGCATGGACACAGCTGTCCTGACGAACGAGCAAGAACGACGGTTAGACTGCGTACAGCAGCGTTGATCTCGACGCGTAATGGGAGTCAAGTGACATGGCTACGAACGGAATAACTCTATTCCGTAAAGAGGCGACCTCAGTAAATGTGAAAATTAAGAAAATAAGGTTGACCCCGTCAAACAAATCGCTCAGGCATAAATTGTTCCAGACCATGAGATTCGCTTGTGCGAATCGAAACAAGGCCAACATATAATACGAAAGAATAAGGTGGAGAAAGGTCTACTTCTCGAGAGAGATATTTTCTTCTAGGATATTGATGTCCTACTAGACTGCTGTCTCATAGCAAAACTTCTGAAATGTTCCGACGCAGGGGACATCACGAAACAGAGGCGTTCTGTTTATGCAGACGGCTAAAGATGATGATCTCAACAAACAAATACCCACAACAGTATAATTTCAATGCTGAACAATGCTGAAAGCATTATTGTGCCACAGATGCTCTTTTCTTGCTCCTTGCTTTCAACCGTTGACGCCTAAAGATTCTTCTTCCTACGGTGCACTCAATGAAGGGTTTCGCTACTTTCGTTTCTGTTGTAAGGAAATATTATTCTGGATAAAGTCTATGACAACGTGCAAGTTTAACGCTGAACAGTTATAATGCCACCGGGTTCTGCAATGCCTGACGGATATGGATGTGGGGCGTGGTGTGATGATTAGAGTTCGGCTTCGAATTGCGGGACTGCGGAGTCCAGGTCCCCGAACAAAGTCTGTAAGCCCAATTGAGCAAGTAATTTCATCCGCGTTGCCTCGGTGCAACCAGCCGAGAAACGGGAATGAAAGTGCTGACTTGTGAACAACAGGGATAACGTGGAGTTGTGACGTGGTCATAAAAGAGTGGGCGACTAGTACGGCCGTGTTGCCTGTAGTTATCCTTCCTTGTGGCACAAGCGATATCTGATCAAGCGTGACGGTGGTCACAAGGTGTGACTCTGCAAAAGGATCATGTGCCCCTACGTCAATACCTATCCTGTAAAAACTAATGCCCACTCATGGATACGTCGGTCATCCAATCATCGCAGGGTAGCCATTGACGCTATTACTATTAGTAGCTGTGTTACGTATGAAGTGTCGAAGTGCGTAACAGCAATGCGTAAGTTTGTTGCACTTGGAAACGGAAGGGCGACGTTTGTCCTTTTGACCGCAAAAAGGTAAAAATCTGTCGCAAGCGTAAGCGCTTGATCTGATTCATAGCAGATGTGACCAATCTCTGCCCAGCACAACATGCGCACGAAAGTAGCA